ACTGCTGTATGGAAAGTGAATTTGCTCTGTAAATCTTCACCCAAATCACATTAAAAAAATATAAATAAATAAATAAACAAACAAACAAACAGCTTAGGCACAAAAAAAATAAAAAAAAAAAACAGAAATCAGACATCATATTGCACTGGGCAAATCTGCTTTAAAGTGTTAAAAAGCAAAGATGTCACTCTGAAGACTAAGGTGTGCCTGACCCAAGCCATGGTATTTTTAACCACCTTAGCCAGAATGCTCCTTGGAAGAAGAATGGCCAGACTCTATCTCACCTACTTTGGTCATGTTGTCAGGAGGAACCATTCCCCGGAGAAAGATATCATGCTTAGTAAAGTCGAGGGTCAACAAAAAAGGGGAAGGCTCTCAACGAGATGGACTGACACAGTGGCTGCAACGATGGGCTCAGGTATAGCAAGGATCATGAAGCTGGCACAGGACCGGGCAGTGTTTCGTTCTATTGTGCATAGGGTCGCTATGAGTCGGAGATGACTTGACAGCACCTTAGAACAACATACATATGCATGTGAAAACTAGACAATGAATATGGAAGACCAAAGAGGAGTTGATGCCTTTGAATTGTGGTGTTGGTGAAGAATACTGAAAATACTATCAACTTCCAGAAGAATGAACAAATATATCCTGGAAGAAATGCAGCTGGAATGCTCCTTAGAAGTGAGAATGGCCAGATTTCATCTCCCTCACTTTGGTCATATTGTTAAAAGGGACCATTCCCTGGAGAAAGATACAACGCTTGGTAAAGTGGAGGGTCAACGAAAAGTGGAAGCCCTGCAACAGCATGGATTGACACAGTGGCTGCAACAATGAGCTCAAGTATAGCAAGGATTGTGAGGATGGTGCAGGATGGGACAATGTTTCACTGTGTTGTACACAGGGTTGCTAAGAGTCAGAGCCAACTAGCCCCTAACAACAACAATCCTTTCTCAAGCAGCAAGGTCAAAATACAGATAACATAAGGAATAGCCTTATAAGGCTAGATCAGTGGTTCTCAAACTTAAGTTGGCATCAGAACCATCTGTAGGGCTTGTCAAAACACAGATTGTTCAGTCTTCCTCTCCCTTTACAGCCTCCTCACTCCCTACTCCAGTTTCTAAGATAAACAGAATGCAACACACTGCCATGGAATGGGATCCAACTCATAGCAACCCCTCCTTGGGGTTTCTGAGGCAGTATCCCTACGGAAGTAGATTGCCCAATCTTCCTTCCAAAGAGTGGCTGGTGGGTTTGAACCACCAGCCTTCTGGTTAGCAGTCAAATGCCTTAGGCACTACGCTACCAGAGCTCCTTCTCTTTAGAAAGGACTTGTATTACACATAAAATTAAAAGAAAAAAGTCAAAGGGACAGATACGGTCTTTAAATATTTCCTACTAAAAGGAAACAGCTCTTTGGAGAAATGGCTGATTCTAGGCTGACTTTAGAAAGCAAGGAAGAATATCAAAGACCACCGAAGTCATGTCAAATGGATTTAGAAGCCAACTTGATGAGGTTTGCAATGGTCAGATATGGGAGAATCTGAGCTTTGGTAAGAATAATAAAAGCAAAGGTTTGAAACACATTGCTAATTTCATGCATTCTTAATGGTAATTTTAAAAGAATTCTCTTTGGTGAAGTTGTTAGCTGCTGTTGAGTCAGCATGACTCATAACAATCCCAGGCACAACTGAATGAAACACTACCTATGTGGTCCTTTGTCATCCCCGTGATTGGCCCATTGTGATCCACAGGGTTTTTTCATTGGCTGATTTTATGAAGTAGATTGCCAGGCCTTTCTTCCTAGTCTGTGTCAATCTGGAAGCTCCACTGAAACCTGTTCAGCAACATAACAACCCACAAGCCTCCACTGATGAGGTGCATTGGCTGAGAATTCAACCTAAGTCTTCTTCATGGAAGGCGAGAATTTTACCACTCTGTCACCACTGCTCTCTCTTCGTATTACAAGGGTAAAAAAGTAGTTATTTAGAAGACAATATTACCGGTACAATAGAAATACGTAAACATTAAATAAGAAACATAGGAAACAGAAGTACCTAAATTTGCCTAAAGGAACCAAAGAAAGTTTCACAAAAGAAATAGCTTTTGAGATAAAACCTTGAGGATTAAATTGATACTTGCCCTGACTAGAGCCAGGAGCAGGAGGTAATTGCAGGAAGAAGTATATGAATTTGCAAGACAGTATGAAAATGCAAAAGCGTCTTCTTGGAACTAAAAGTATTTCAGTTTTCCTGGAACATTAAGCAGGGGATCCTACCACCTATTTCCCAGCCTGGTGGATCACAGCCATATTATTTACTTCCATTACTCTAGCTTTGGGAGGAGGGGTAAGGCCTTTAGCTTGGGACACTTTCAGCCCTTTAAAATTAGTTTTCTGTGGAGTAGGAAGAGGAGAGTCAACTTTTAGGAAACTTTGTGAATTGTAGGCCAGGATACATTTTGGAGCAGTTTTAAAATGCAGTGCAAGAAAGACTAAAACCAAAGGAAATGCGGGAGGGGTTAAGGCACAACGAAAACACTCCGTGTAAGCAACAACCTACTTCCTACAATTATAAACCTTTGTACAATGAAGGAAGATGAGTCATTCCGAAATCAATGTTCTGAACTTCTTTTTGTTATAGCAGTCGGCTTTGTACCGACGATGGTTTTATAGTGAGTCTACATCACCCATTATATTTATTTCTAAACAACAAATCCTTTTTTTGTTGTACACAGTTCAAGTGCTGATCTAAAAAGATAGTAGTATTTGGCTTTGTGGCATTTATTTCAAAAGTACAGATTATATATGGTATACCATAACAAAAAAGATTGTTGTGAATTAATACTTTCAGAGAAGTGATAAGGAACCAATTAGCAATGCAAAACTGGCAACAAAACCTACCTGGAGAATATAATTGTGTGTCGCTTTGGATTTTAAAAAACAACTGTATTTTTAAATGTTTTAGACAAGCAAAGCCTTTGTCATGTGCCTTGCCCAGTAACTTCTGTTGAGTGATTTTTACACAACCGCGGTCTCATGCCTTTTTGCCTGCTTGCGGAGAAGCTTCCCGTTTCTCTGACGGTTTCTCAGTTAAGACATTATTCTCGGCTGTTACTTCCCCTTGCTTCCGGGATGCTCCACGTCCTGTTGCACAAGTTCAGCCTCTGTTCGACTGGGGCCCGGCCTGTCGAAAGCAGTCGCGTGGGCTGCCTATGCCTCGCCTCCATCTGTGGGCTCCTCGGATCTCTAGGGTGCCGCCCAAATGTCAGGCTTCCCGGGACTGCCTAATTACCCACACCGTGGAGGTAAGAAACTCCTTACGACTCGGTAGCCTCCCAAGCGTGGACGCACGCGGTAGCATCCAGATTCCTTTCCGGAAAAACCCGGATCGTTTAGCAGGAAGCCAGGGCCCAACTACGAGAGGACCCAGTGCCGGACCCGCCCCTCCTCTCGCCCCTCCCCTTTCTCCGCCCCGCGAGGAGAGCGTGCGCCTAGGCCCCGCCCCGGACGCGCAGTTCTGTCCCCTGCGCCCCGCCCTCTGCCCAGGCTTGCTCTCCTCCGGCTAGACGACGGCTGGTGCCCACTTCCTTGCGCACCCCTTCACGTTACTCGGCGCCGTCGCACGCGCGCGCGCTTCGCGCCCTCGGGGGTCGGCCGGATTCCCGCACCCCAACCCTTCCTCCACAGCCCGGTGACTCGGCCATGGCTTGGTTGCGGCAGCCGGAAGCCAGCGTCCGGGCTCGCGGCGCGCTGGCGCTGCTGGCCCTGGCACTGTGTGCTCCCGGGGCTCGGGGCCGGGCGCTCGAGTGGTACTCGGCCCTAGTGAACACTGCGTACGTGGACCCACAGACGAACCTTACAGTGCGGAGCGTCTCGGAGAGCGGCCGCTTTGGCGACAGCTCTCCCAAGGAGAGCGCACAGGGCCTTGTGGGCATCCCGCGCGCGCCGGACCGCCACCCGGAGGGCTGCGCGCCGGACACCCGTTTCCATGTGCCCGCGTCCGGCGGCCAGGGTGCTGTGCCCTGGGTCGCTTTGGTGGCGCGCGGGGGCTGCACATTCAAGGACAAAGTCTTGGTGGCGGCACGAAGGAACGCCTCAGCAGTGGTGATCTACAACGAAGAGCGCTACGGAAACCTCACTGCGCCCATGTCTCACGCGGGTGAGTGGGGCCGGGGCTCGCGGGAAGTGGAAGTGGGGGACCTTTTCATTGTGGTCATGGCCGACTGCCTTCTCGCTCTCGGATTTGATCCTGCTGGGCAGGCCGCGATGTAGGATGGGGAAGCGACTTTCAAGATCTTTTAGCTATCGGGAACTATTAAGAAAGGCCCTATTGGAGAAGATAAGAAAGTCAGCAGACAAGAATGGATGGATCAGTCAGTCGTTGAGGTGAAAGGAGATGGCCTCTCAAAGGGGACTGGGGAGAACTAAAGAAATAAAAATCCAGAGGAAGTTTGTGATTCTAACTGGTGGAAAAGTATGATTTCTAATCATGAACCCCTTTCCTTCAACAATTCCCCTTGAGAGGGATGGGAATTGACGCTCTTCTCCAGCGCATGCTCGGATCTGGCTGCCCTTTGAGCTACGCTTAATGATGACCTGATGGCACTATGATTTCTTAGCATTCATAAAGCATTTTTGTTAAATATTCTAAACTTCGAGTCAGAATACCTGGATTTAAGTTCGAATGTGTGTTCTTGCCTGCTAAATACGAGGTTATAATCTTTGCTACCAATCAGATTCCTTGAATCTTGAATTTAGATAGAAATTTAAGATACAGTGTTCATTCAAGGAAAGGGCTTGCTATTTGCCAGGGGATATGCTTTCTACACACACGGATTCCCCAGGGCAGAAGGTTGTATCTTCAGGCAGTGATGATAGTTCAAAGCTTCTCTTATTTGAAAAATGACGTCCTTGAAACTGAATTACAGAAGAAATACAACCAGAGCCCAGCAGAGTGAGTGTATTGCTGTTGTGCCTTGTAGGGTAACATTAGCTTTGTGCATTACACTGGTGACTCATCCTGAAATTACCCTGGTTAAAATCTCTTTAAAATTTGTGGTGTACTAAGTCAGACAACCTTTTTTCTGAACTTCTGTTTTTGGTTTCATGGATGCAAGTTCAGCACCTAACCAAACTTGTTGCCTCCAGTTGGTTTGGACTCTAGCAACCCTGTGGGACAGAGTACAACTGGCCCATAAGTTTTCCAAGGGTGTAAATCTTCATGGAGGAGCTCTGGTAGTGTAGTCCTAAAGGCATTTGACTGCTAACCAGAAGGCTAGCGGTTCAAACCCACCAGCCACTCCTCGGAAGGAAGGTTGGGCAGTCTACTTCTGTAGTGAGATACCACCTCAAAAACCCAAGGAGGGGTCGCTATGAGTGCAACTCAACGGCATATAACAACAAATCTTCATGGAGGCCTTATCTTTCTCCCCAGACACACCTGTGGTCGAAACACCTGGTAGGTTCAAACTGTCTACCTTTCAGTTTGTGGTCAGGCGCTTTAACCACTTCGCCACCATGGAAGGTTTGGAACCTAACAATGTTGGGTAAAATGAGAGCAGAAAAGTGACAGATTGTCCCACTCCAGTGGAATGCTGGGAGTGGAAGCTAGCTAAGAGGTGAGGAGGTAGAGACAACTCTTTCAAGAAAGTTGACTAAAGGTTGGGGGAAGTATAGAGATACAGGGCAGAAAATGTAGGAGGAAGAGGGCAGGATGGGAGATAGTAAGGCATATTTGAAATCTGATAGCAATGTCTGGTAGAGATCCAGGAAGGTGAAGAGATGACTGAAGGCTGGATCTGGAATACTTGTGGCCTCACATAGACAGTTTCTCAGTTGCAATAAGAGAAAAAGGGAAAAAACTTGGGAGCAGATGTCCATATGTTAGCAGTAGCTTAAACATTACCTTTGCTGCACTTGTTACATTGATTACAAATCATTGTATCCAAGCTATATTTCCACAAGACTATCATGAGAGGTCTTGTCATATCTCACATAGCATTCCAGATACATCCTATTGACAGTGTTCCCCAAGTTTAGAAGTTCTGTCAAAGAAAAATAGTTAGTTTTTTAAGATTCTCTGATGCTGAGTCCTTGTAATCACGTCCCGATGTGCACACATCTTCATGCAGACTTTTTATTTTAAGTAGCAGGCTCATCGAGCTACAATTTTCTAACTACCTGCTGCAATTTTTTTTTTTTTTTAGTTCCATTACTATCTTTCTAGGCCAATATCAAGGAGCCTTGGTGGCACAAAAGGTTAAGCACTTGGTTGCTAGCCGAAAAGTTGGTGATTTGCACTTAGCCACTCAGCAAGAGAAAGATCTGGTGATCTGCTTCCATAAAGATTGTGGCCAAGAAAACTCTGACACATGGGTTGGTATGAGTCAAAGTCAGCTCATACCTAACAACAACAGGCTAATGGCATTTGTTCAAACCTTGGTTCAGCTATCTTGCTTGCTTCTATTATTAATGTATAATTTATCTAGACCCTGAAAATTTAACTCATGTTAATATGCCCATTATCAACGTCCATTCTAGCCTTTTTAGAGTGAGAACAATTGTTGGAGAGAAGAGACAGACGGAGGTGGCAATTTTTCAAATTATGAATGTGCCTGACACATAGCTCCTGTGCTCATTGTTCTGCTTATGGTGGCTTACTTAATCCTCCTTGAAACCCTTGAAGGTAGGCACTTGAACCTCATTTTACAGATGAGGAAACTGATGCTCGGAGTTTAAATGACTGACCCAAGATAACATAGTGATGGATACAGCTACACTTCATATCCAGGTTTTTCTGAGTTTCTCTGAACTCTGAGTTTCTGTTCTTTCTTCTACTCCACACTGATTAAGAGTTGAGGATCTTGCTGTTATGTTGTCCCTTTACAGCATACCTTCCATTTCAGACAGTAGGATTAACCTTTCTTCCTTGATCTTTTGTTGTCTATATGACTTTTTCAAATTTTTTGGTAGTTACTAGCATCTACAAGTCTCAGTTTCTTTATGATTCCAGCCACAGGATTTTTATAAATCTGTGCCATTGATTCAGTGTCCTTTTGCCCTCATTTTTTCTTTAAACTAAGATCTGTGTTTACTGGGAAGCTGCTGCCCCTGTAGCATCAGAGTTTCACTTGCATCTTTTCTTCCTCAACTTCATCATTTTGTAATTGCAGTTAAGTTTTCAAAGCTTCTAAGCTTATTAAGGTGGACTCCCTTCCAGGTCTTATGGAATGGTAACTGCTGAATTTCTTGGAATTATAATCTTAAAATAATAACTTTCTCTGTGATATAGACTTTTCCTTTTCTGTTAGCTTATCTAAGATGGTGTGGTTATTTTTCTCCAGTGTCCTTTTATTCTTGGCACTAATTCTTCTTTGTTGTTTTAAATTAGTTCCAGACCCATAGGTGTTACTTGTAGCTTTTTGCACCTTTTTTTTTAATCATTGAGAATCTATGAAGAGCTGTGTTCACCTCCCTCCAAAGTTGCAGATATGCCCAAGTACATAAACTTTAGCATGTAATTTAAGGGGATGGATGGAATCTCTAGAGCCCAAGGACTCAAAAACCTCATCAGATTTCCCATCACTCTTAGAGACAAAATTATCACTAAGGCCAGTCAGGAATTTACAGGGACGGGTAAATGAAATGAATATATAAACAGAGAACTAGGTGAACATTAGGCTGGGCAATCTGCTTCCGTAATGATTCACCGCCTTGAAAACCCAATGGGATTTGCTGTGAGTCAGAATCGACTGGATGGCAGTGGGTTGGGTGTTTTGGGTTTTTTTTAGTTTTTGGAGTGATTGAGGAAAGCATCTAGTGAGTGGGTGGTAAACTAGACTAGATTATGAAAGATTGTAAAGATCTTAAATGCTGGAATAAAACTGGACTGTATATGAGAGCTCTGGTAGCGTAGTGCCTAAAGGACTTGACTGCTAACCAGAAGGCTGGCGGTTCAAACCCACCAGCCACTCCTCGGAGGGAAGATGGGACAATCTACTTCCATAGGGATACTGCCTCAGAAACCCAAGGAGGGGTCGCTATGAGTCGGGTCCCACTTGACGCCATATAACAACAACAACAACAACAATATTTTGATGTATAGTACTGGGCATATCTGCTGCAAAAGACCTCTTTAAAGTGAAGAGCAAAGCTGTCTCTTGGAACATGCCTAACCCAAGCCAGGGTATTTTCAGTAGCCTCATATGCATGTGAAAGCTGGGTAATTAAAAAGGAAGACCAAAGAAGAGTTGATGCTTTTGAGTTGTAGTGTTGGCAAAAAATACTGAAAGTACCATAGACTGCCAGAAGAACAAAGAAATCTGTCCTGGAAGAAGTGTAGCCAGAATGCTCCTTGGAAGTGAGAATAGCCAGACTTCATCTCATCTACTTTGGTCATGTTGTCAGAAGGGACCATTCCCTGGAGCAAAATAACGTGTTTGGTAATGTGGAGGGTCAGCGAAAAAGGGGAAGACCTTCAATAAGATGGGTTGACACAGTGGCTGCAGTGATGGACTCAGGTATAGCAAGGATTGTGAGGCTGGCACAGGACCAGGCAGTGTTTCATTCTGTTGTGCATGGGGTCGCTATGAGTTGGAGCCAAATCAACAGCACCTAACAACAGTTTTCTGATGGAGGGTTGAGGTTGGTTTTTGTTTAGTTTTTAGCAGTATATTAACTTAAAGCAGTTTCTCAACCTTTGCACTATTGCTATTTTGGCCTAGAAAATTCTTTGTTGTGGGGGCTTTCCTGTGCATTGAAACATGCTTAGCAGTATCCCTGGTCTCTACCCACAAGATTCCAACAGCACTCCCCTCAAAACCAAACCAAACTCACCACCATCAAGTCGTTTCTGACTCATAATGACTCCTCCTTGGGTTTCCAAGGCAGTATCTTTACGGAAGTGATTGCCCAATCTTCCTTCTGAGGAGGGGCTGGTGGGTTTGAGCCACCAGCCTTCTGGTTAGCAGTCAGATGCATTAGAAAATGTCATCAGATATTGCCACATGTCTCCAGGAGGAGGGGCAGAATCATCCCTGATGGTGAAGCACTGACTTAAAGGGAGATGATTTGGTAGCAGTGTTACTGATGGATTGAACAGAGGAGAAACTGGAAATACAGTCCAGTGAGACTGTTGGAGTAGTCCAAGTAGAAATATAA